TAACAACCTTGTCTGAAACCCTATTATATAGCTTATTATATACAAACTTTTATATTGAATATCAGAGCGGATATTTTCATGACAGTTTTATGATGTGTAACGACTAAATAAACAGTATCGATATAAAGATTTACACTGAGGACACCCTGATACATGAATACTGTTCTATCTCAAGTTGTCCTCTTCTGAATTTTCTGATCGTGTGGCCTTGTACATTTATCCGTATCTTCTTGTCTTTGTCTATACGTTTACGGAATCATTGACTCGACGCTAGCTATTCTTGTCTCACTTTCCTTGTTTTATTGTCCCATCTCCAAAGCGTTGTGGCTCTGTCAGGGTTGGGACCCTGACTTGTCTCACTTTCTTTGTGCCTGCCGACCACGCCACATCGAATAGATAGATTATCCATATGAAATACTTTATTTTGTTCTAAGTAATCAATCAATTCTGCGCTTCTTGGAGGTATTGAATGTGATTTATTATATTGTCTTGTTATTTTGTGTAATTAGTTGTTCGTTATTTATCACACATTTTCGCATAATTGTACCAAACTACTAAGTATTAGCTGTTTACAGCAATCATCGGTGGCTTGCTATTTTGTTACTTTATCGACGCTTCATAAACCAATCGTTATTGTTTCAAGATGGAGGGTAAATGTGTTGGAGAAGGGTGTCAAGTATACTTCAAGAAACGTAGTGGCAATAAGAACAGAAGTGCACGCAATGTAAATAGTCCACAATATAAATGGCTCCTAGATACGCTGGTGCAACAAGGATTGATGTCAGCAAAGGAACAAGCACTTATTTGCCAGAAGTGCTACATGAAGTATCTTCGGAACAAAAATCAGCCTGAACCTGAACCCGAGCAGAACCAGGAAATAGAGGAAGAAGACGACTCCCCGTCCCATATCCTGCCGTTGCTGACCCTTCATGATCTTTTGAATGGATCATCTTCACACAAAAAATGCTGTCTCTGTCTTGTTACCTTTGCAAGAAATGGAACAAAATCATCAGTCTTACCAAAACGTGCAAGACATCACCTGATCTATTCACACAAACTGTGGTGTCCCACCTCATCCCGCGTCTGCTCCATTCACCTTATTGGTAACGACTTAGATCCGTCTACAGAGGTTGTCCTTGATGGTAGAGGTTCCTTGGAATCTCAGTTACCATCAAAATCGTCCGAAATCATTAATGACCTCCTAGAGGTGTCGCACGTCCTTTCACAGAACCAGTCTGCGTTTACAATAAGCTTTTCTTCTCTTGATGACTCGGCATGCATGGCCTGGACAGGTTGGTCCAAAGATCAGTTCCTCGAAATCCACTCGCACTGTTCCCCATATCTTTCATCTGGTATATATACCAAGACTACACACGATGCTCTATTACTGTTCTGGGTAAAACTGAAAACCGACATTTCCTGGAGTCAGTGTTCTTCTCTTTTTGGAATTTCCAAGTCAAGTGTGTCCAAAACTTTCCACTCCATAGTACAGGCATTAGACACATCGATAGTCCCACAATTTCTAGGTCCGGATCACTTGACAAGAGAACAGTTGCTCGGGCACAATACTGTCTTTTCAGAAGCATTTTTTGGAGATAAAGCCACTGCCATATTAGATGGCACCTATATTTATATCCAGAAAAGCTCCGACCACAAGCTCCAGAGAATGTCCTACTGTGGCCAGAAGAAGAGAAACTATCTCAAATTCATGAGCATCGCCTTACCAGATGGCTACATTCTGGACACAGTAGGACCATTCACTGGCAGCGAAAATGATGCTACAATTACAAAAAAAGTCATGGACAAGCTAGTTACTTGGCTACAACCAGACGACAACGTTGTCGTTGACCGAGGTTTTAGAGATGTCCTACCAGTTCTCGAAGCCTCTGGCCTCAATGCTAGCATGCCGTCATACCTGAAACCCGGTCAAAGTCAACATTCTGACGTCCAAGCAAATCTTGACAGAACTATCACCAAATCGAGGTGGATTGTGGAATCCTATCATGGTCGTCTGAAACACTGGACGTTCTTCCGAACGCAATTGGTGTCTAACAGCTTTATCAATGTCATCGAGGCTTTGCTTCGAACCGTCACAGCCTGTCTGAATGGTATTAGAGGACCGATCTACCAGAGATCTCCAGAGAGAGATGCCAAAGATAGGCTAATGGCTGAACGTATGAAGGACCGTTTGACAACACCGAATGGTTTAGCTCAGAGAGTCAAGACAGATCCGGATCTATCTAGACGGGCAAGGTCCGAGTTTGTCAAGATGGATGCATCTTCCGTACTGTTTCCCCGTCTCGATCTTGATTACTTGAGAACCATTACGTGTGGAACGTATCAGATATCTCTGGCTCCTGGTTACATCGCCGAACATTTAAGTGATGACGGAGACTATGAGGTGTGGCTTTACCAGCACTCCCCAGACCTTCTCCGATGTCAAATACATTCTCGACACAAAAGCCAAACGAAATATAACGTTTGGATACGGTTCACCGTTTCACCCGATGTTGAGGCCCCAATAAAGGACTACTACTGCCAGTGCCCAGTTGGAGAGAGAACGATGGGAATGTGTGCGCACATCTCCAGTATCTTGTACTACCTTGGGTATTACAGGACGCTGGAAAACCCTCGACCATTACAACCACAGGTAAAGAAATTCCGACAAAACTTGAAATAGTTTTCCATGCGGCAACGGAGTGCATATGTCGAAAGTATGTTTGGGGCTCGATATGAAAGATCCCCGTTACCATGTGACTAACCAAACTTATAAATATAGGTATTATACAATCGCCCGTAGCTATGAACACTCCCGTAAATGCGAAAACCAACCAAAATCATAAGGAACACGTTTTGTTTGTTGTTCTGTCTATTTGTCAGCCAATGTCTTCAACCACGGGGACTTGTGAAGTAGCCATCTTGGATTTTTTTTATGAAAAAGTGTTTCTCTCACTTTTTTTCATATCTGTGTACATATTCTCAACATACCGAGCAAATACTCTCGTTTTTTTGTTAATTATCTAAAGAAAGTCGAAAATCGGCAATTCAACCATAGGCTAATTCAACCCAACATTTGAAAATGTTCCACCACTTACATTTTGATGATTTTTCCTCTCATCAATAGCATATTACGTACTGTTTAATAGGATAAAAATTGGTTTGCATCCAACGCCCATAAAAGGGTGTATTCTCTAAAAAACACAGTTTTTGTGTCTAAAATGTTATCATCGAAAATGGCATTTTTGAGATTGTTTCTTCCATAAAACAGCCAAATGGCGCGATGGAAACATGATTTTTTGTCACAATCATGCCATGAATGTATTCTTTACGGTGACTATCATTTGATTAGATTTTCATTAATATTTTACATAACATGCACATTTTATCAACACTGAGACAGCTTCTGAAAGGTACAACTTTGAGGAGCAATAAAAAACAAACAAAGTGACCTAAATCTTTATACTTTATAGATTTGTGACCACAATGGCATGGGCAATGCACCACCAACAGGAAATTTGAATCAGAGAAGGGGCCGTTTTGGAAACCGGCCCTTTACCAGTTTGTATGAAAAAAGGGAAAGACTGCACTTCAACACAACCGTTCACAATTCAAAGCCAGACACAAAGGCAAAAAGATGGAAAAGAAAGATCAGTAGCGTTGCACAGTCCAACACAGAGAAAGCCCGACTATCATATGGACCTGAAGCTTTAGATGTATCCGATAATGTGATACCTTCAAAATTGGATGATCTTCAGAACACTTTCATTGAAACAAACATCAACTTAACCTGTGGTAAGATCAAGGAAATTGAGAAGGACACTCCATCAGTCTCAGTCTGGCCTGTGGCATGATGAAAAAAGAAAGAGATTAACAGCATCCAATTTTGGCCCTATAGTTCGTCGAAATCCTTCTTTACCTGTCTTAAGTATACTCTGAAAACATCTCTTCAATAAATTTCGAGGAAATCGTTATACAAAAAATGTTTTACTGCAGGAACACAACACTTTAGAAGAATACAAATTAAAAAAAGCAGAGGAAAACATGAATGTGGAAATTGAACCTGTTGGGCTGGTTATTGACAAGAAATATAAATTATTGGGAGGAAGTCCCGATGGTAAAGTTTGTGTCAGTAATGGAGATGTTGGATTGTAAAGAATGTCCTTTACAACAAAGCATTGACAAGCTGCAGAAAGTCAAAAGCAATTCTGTCTAGAAATTCAAGATGGCAAACTATCTCTACGAGAAAAAGCATGACTATTTCTTCCAATGCCATGGGTTGTTGAATGTGTGCGACTATCCCTGGATAGATTTGGTTGTCCGAACATGTGATCCTTATCAACTACACATCCAGAGAATTCATCGGAACAAGGAATTTTAGGACGCAACATGCTCCCTAAACTCATAGATTTCTATAATAAGGTTCTGCCCCCTGAATTAACACTTCCAAGAGAGGGAAAAAGTCCATGAATAAGAGAACCAGGTATTTGGGTGAGTTTATACATTAAATTGGTATATAACAGGATAACATGTTGAATGTTAACAGTCATTTGTAAAACTGTGTACTGGTTAAATCCATTACATGACTAGGGTCCGTACAGACCTTGAAAAATGCTTAGTTTTGAGAGGGGTGCTTAGAAAGAAATACTTAGAAATGATCCTGTACTTAGTTTTTACATGGAGTGCTTCAAAAATGCTAGTGATTATTGTTTTCCGGTACATGTATGTCTCCATTTTAATTATAAAGTTTAAACAAAGTAATTAAAAAAAAATGGGGAAATGTGTATTCAGTGATCACTTATTGATATTACTTATTACAGTTGTTTAATTTCTAAAATGATGAAGTGGTTTTAAAGCGCATCCCTCCTTTTTCTAGTCATTTCTTTCTGTACGAACCCCGCTTTAATATGATTAATATGTATACATATTCTTTCAAATGTTAAAACTGGACGCTTACATATTTTTTAATTTTGATTCTGACATTTACATCATTGTTATTTCAGTATGTTGCTTTAACAAGCAGGAAGCCAACAACTACAAGTGAATGTAAAACACCAACAGACGATGCATTTGACTCTACAGGAAGAAATGATACAGCCAACAGAAACAGACCATCTCTAAGGTACATTGTAACAGTAAAATATTATATTGACACCCTAAACATTTTTAACATTATTTATAAAAAAAAAATCATAATAGAAACATTGATCCTAACTGCTGTATTCAGGTACAATTTACATAAAGCACTTATACATTTACAGTGTTAAACTGCTACCAGACAATATATAAGCACTATCAATAACATCTGGGTAACAGGTTAATAGTCTAAGAATGAAATTGGTTGCATAATCTATGACAAAACATAAGGAGACTGCATTAACTGGAATACAAATAGTCTTTATTAAGAAAACAGAAAATGGAGATACATAATAGTTCCTAGTTTCTCACAATGTATGGATTTGACTTTAGTTAAGTGTTATATAAAAGTATGAAAATTCCAATATTTACAGGAAAGGGAGAACAAAGACCAAGAAGACACCTTCAGGTAGAAGAAGCAGTACTGATGCAGCCAATATAGTGACAACTCCATCACTAAGGTACATGCAATTAAAGCATACTATTTCATTTGTTTAATTATGTCCCTTCATGATATTCCCTAATCATATAATGTTTGTGGTGAAATAATAAGAATAAGTATGATGTTTCCTAAATTCGTATTTTGTCTATTTAATTATGTTCCTTCATGACATTGCCTAATCATATAATGTTTGTGGTGAAATAAACATGAATAAATATGATGTTTCCTAATTATTATTTTTACTTCATAGGTTTACTTCACGAGTCTCAAAAGTGAAATTTGTTTGAAGAAGTATAATCCCCAGTGGATTATTGATGCAGCAACAGATCAACGTGAATGGTATAAGGGTACAGTGTTGAGTGTTATTTCTGGTGTAGACGACGAGGACAATGCAGTTTATGAAGTTATATATCAAGGACAGCAAGAACTTGTCGAAGTTGACCATTTGCTTGAGGACTTCAGATCTTCATCTTTGATATTCATTGACGTTTAAAAGTGAGTAGATATTTATTCAATAAGAAAACTAAATCTTCAATTATATGCATATAGGTTGCAATAAATGTAAAGATAATTGAAGTGTTTGTATCTAAATAGACAAATGGTTAAATTTCTATATGGCTAATGGAATAGTATCCAAGATAGATTTCAAGATCTCAATCATATTGTTTTGTTAATTTAGTGAAAATGGTGAAAATTTCATGTTACCAATATCTATAGGTTATGTGTTTCAAAATAAGCCCCTCATATAACAGTGTTATGCAACGTCAATGTGAAATATGTGAAGCAATATTTTTTGCGATCAAAGACTTAATGGAATATAACCTTGACCTTTGAACTTAACACATTTAATACATGGCAGGATCATGTATTCTGTGCACACAACATTCCTGTAGAGTTTGGTAAATGTTATATTTTTAGGATCAAGTTTTGAAAATTTTATCACTCTCAGGTGTAAAATAATACACTACAGGGCCTCCATACATTTCCACAAAAGTAGTCCCCAAATCTTAATTGCCATTTCCTTTTTTCATGAGGACATATTTTAAAATTTGTTTTTGGTAAAAGCTTTTCCATGTATGACAAATCAGTAGTCCTTATACAGATGATGAAGATGTGTTTTTTTAATATTTTGTAGATATTTGCATTTTGCTGACTTCTTGGGATTTCTTGCAAAATCAGCTGTTTATAAGGTGAATATGTCAAGACTCATCAAAATTATTTGTAATAAGGCCGGTTATCTAGTTTAATGAACATTTTGATGTATTGGTTAACATACCAATGACAATTTTAGGGCTAAAAACTTATGTTTATTTTTGCCGTAAATTGACTTAAGCGGAACCTTAAGAAGTAACAAATTTCAAAACAGCATGACTATGCCAACAATTAACACATTCTTCTATTTTTTCACTCGTGTTTTATATATACATCAACAACTAAACGACCTGACAGTTTTAGTTTGGCTAACACTAATGATGAAAGCCCGGGCGACCCCGATATTACAAATAACACGCGTGATTTCAGCTAAGGTATAGCGTATGGTTCAGGAATATATGGAGGATATTTAATGGTGTCTTCATTGATAACAAATATATTTCACGAGTGTGGCTAATATTTTGATATTTTTCATGAGTGCCTTGGACTGCAGCGAATATAAGATACCGTTATGATTGGTCAATACTAAAAAGTGATATTTTCACACTGTCAAAATATCAATTTTGATATTTGTCACAGTGTGAAAGATATCGGTTTTATCAAGTTGATAGAATCCATATTGCACTGGCAAAAATATAATAAATACAATTTCAAAACACCATAACTCCGCCAATAATTAACATATTCTAAAAAAGAATTCATCATTGTGTTATTTACACTCACATCTTAACAAATAAATAGTTCTAATTGACTTAACGATAAAGATGAATGCATAGGCGGTCGCGATGCTGCAAATAACACGCGTGATATAAGCTTCAGCGTAATGTAGCGAAGGATCTCAAGTTAGATCACCATAAATCTTTTTATAATGGAGATATGTTCACACCATCTTCTAATTTTTATGTATGATTCATCAATTAACCCGAGATAAGTACTTTAATTATATTAACTTTACAAAGTAATGCTCGGGAAGTCCTAATGTTGTAAACAACAAGTCCTGCAGGACTGGTTAACTTCAAATCACAATAACGTGGCTAATTATGAACAAATTTGTTTTGTATTTTTCATTCCTAAAGCTATAAGAAAATATAACTTGTTTTAGTCCAGTTAGCGACACATGTGAAAGCCGGGGTGGTGTTTTTATCGCAAATTACAAACGTTGGGTCTTCTCCAGCGGCCTGTTGCGATGTTACTAATAGTCATAACTTGCCCAAATCTAATTTTCACTATTACTTGATCATTACATTCATGTTGTTACAAATAATGCAAAATATACAGCTGTAATTGTGTATAAGTGGAGACAAACGCCCGGACGGTCAATATATCACTACCGGGCTGTACCGGGCTGTACCGGGCTCTAACGAGCTGTAATTTGTAGGACTGCTCTATTCACTTCCTGGTTTGGAGATCGGTCCAAGGTGTAAACAAGAGTCCTGTCGAAATAAGTCCAGTCTGTTCTTTCCGTGTCGATATTGTTAGTTCACAAGGTGAGTGTAAGGAACTAAGGTGGTTTTGTTACGTACACATCTGTAAATTACACAAAACATGTTTGGTTATATCTGTATATTACAGATTTATATGTACTACACTGTCGACAAACCTTCGCTATACACAAACCAAAAGTTTGTATAAATTCTGTAATATATAACATGTTTATAAACGCGACTATATCTTTGTGTTGATAGTGTTGGTAGGTTAATATCGTGAAGTACGTATACAGCATGCTGTGATTGTAATCGTGATCCGCCCCTTCCATTTATCCCAGGGTACAATAAACAATCAAACCATTATTTCAGGCGATCAGTACAGATAATTGCCTCCTCTTTATTCGTGTTACTTTAAACGGACTTCATCACTTAGATTCAAATTTAAATCAATGGGTTAGCGTTATGTTGATTGGAATGTGTCATGATCATTTAAATCACACACATGGAAGTGTGTGCCTATACATGTAACTGTATATAAAATTCATCGACACGCTAGACTGTCATAGACGATTGACAGGAAAACCAAACTTTATCGTTATAATGATAGACCATACAATCATGGGAAGGAAAGGAGACGGGGGGCAGTGCCCGCCTAGAAAGAAGGGTATCGGGGTGGAGCCACACAGAAGTTTATAAACTAGTCCGCTTAGGCAATTCTTACAAATTATATCAATAAATGTGTAACGAAACGAACAAACATCAACCCAATCTGTTATTTGCTACGCGAGGTGATGACTTGAAATACCTCAACGAAATCAGGAAACAACATACTTTGCTCTGCTTTGAAAAAAGTGTTTGTCCTGTTTTTTGAAGAAATAAGATCTAGTCCTCAAACAAAAACGTATCCAGTCCTCACATAACAACAGGCCAGAATCGCTGGATATTAAAGCAATCATTATAATATGTTCTCATTAGAAGTAGTATGTCAAATAAGATCAAAGGGATATAGTACCAATTCCCAGACCTGGTATCATTACATGTGTGTATCCCAATACATCGATTCTGGTACATGTAATATGATTGTTTTCGTCTCATTATGCCTCGCATTTGTATATAAAATTATGAGTAGGGAATCTCAGTTATAACGCAGTGACTATAAAATTCAAGAAATTTAAGTTTCAAAAACTAACGGATTAGGCAACAGGCATAGCCTATATATGTTTTCTCCCATTCCGGTACAACATGAAATACAAGTGCATAAACATATATTAATGTAGGGGTTAGGATAGACAGGTGATAGTGATGGACAATTTAAGAGTATTAATAATTTTGGGACTTGTTTAATAAACTGAGGATTAAAAAGCTGTAACTGGATTGATATAAACTTAAGATATGGAAAGATGTAACAATAATACACATCCACATTAACACTTCCACATTACTTTACGATATATGTATTGTTGATCGACACAAGTACTCACTACCCTAATTACACACAACACATTCGTATACATAAACACCAACACTAGTTACAAACAGATATACAACCATTAGTGCCCTTTGATATACCTATATTAAAACACTGTACTCACATAACACAGGTATGTTTTACAGTGTACTCACATAACCCAGGTATATCATATTACACTCCAACACTGTACTCACACATAACACAGGTTATATATATGTGTTAACAGCCTAACCCTAACTCACAGCCTTACACATACATAATATACCTACGCATCACACATGTAATATACAACAACATTTGGTATAGCGCCCTATCTAGCTAACATACGCCACTCTAAAGAGCTTTATACACAAGTGAGCTCACCCACTAATACACCTCTCGCTCAACTCTTAATAGACAAACAAAATAACAACTATAATTGATATCAGCCTCTTATCTACAAACACTACTGGCAGTGAAACTATAACCTTAGATGTAAGGTCATACATTAATCACATACAGTTCATTGATATGTAAAGCTTTAGATAGATTAATTTACAATACGATTTTTAATATGTTTAAGTAGAAAGGTTATAACGTGTACATAAAACCCGTGTAGGCCCACATGGGTATAAAGACATAGGTGTATTTAAAAAAGGTTATAACGTGTACATAAAGCCTGTGTAGGCCTACATGGTTATAAAGACATAGGTGTAATTTAAAAAGGTTATAACGTGTACATAAAGCCTGTGTAGGTTCACATGGTTATAAAGACATACGTGTAATTAAAAAGGTAATAACGTGTACATAAAGCCGTTGTAGGCATACATGGTTATAAGGACATACGTGTAATTTAAAAAAGGTCATAACATGTACATAAAGCCTGTGTAGGCTCACGTGGTTATAAAGACATAGGTGTAATTAAAAAAAAGTTAAAACGTGTACATAAAGCCTTTGTAGGGCTACATGGTTATAATGACATCATGTAAATGCTAACAATAATTACTATACAGTCTTTTAGTACAAAAGATATAGGAAGATACATTATCTAAAATGGATTAATTGTAGTTATTGGAAAGTAGATGACTACCTTTTAGTTAAAATGTTAGCTAAAATATTGCCAATCATATTTTACATTAAAAGTGTAAATTAAATAGATTATTGAAGAGACGACAAGAAAAGAAGTAACGAAGAACATCATCAGAATGAAATCCACAAGTACACTGAGAGTTATCAATGAAGTGATCACAATGCTCATTATGATTAAGATGACGTATCCCATTTCTTAACTGACATAATATAACGTTAAGCGTACCAGACTGACAATATTCAAACATATTAACTACGTCATCATCGTAGGAGAATGACGTCTTATTTAATTTACTTCTAAAACTCGAAATGGAAAGTCCTTTTGTCAGTTCCTTAATTTCAATTTATTCATTATGCAAAAAAAAAAAAAAAAAAAAAAAAAAATTAAAAAATNGTTCCGGTGAATGGTTTTTTGAAATTTCTTTAGCATCTTAAGTTATAAATATCATCTTGATGAGAACTAATGAATGTTTCTTCTAACTTGTAATGAATGGGTATCTCACCTGTTTCCATGTTGTTACACTGAAACTAAGTCCCGTTTGTTTTTGGGTGGGATACGTTTTAAAAATGTATCCCATACACAAAATAGCATACGTTTTTTTCAGATGAAAAAAATGTCCTGTATCCCACATTTTGTTTTATTATTGTTTCACTTATCAAATATTACAGGAGAAGCAGAAATTATAAAAACGTTATGACTTTATGACTAAGAAAGAGCATTCTTAATAAATATAATAACGCAATTTTATTTACATTTACAGCTTTACAACTAACACAGTACAAAACTCCTCCTCCTAATTATAAGAATGAAATATTCCCCTCCTAGTTATCAGAATGACCCCGACCCCTCCTCGTTATCAGAATGACCCCCGACTACTCCATGTTATGAGAGTGACCCCTGACCCTCTCCTCGTAATCAGAATGATACACGACCTCTCCTCGTTATCAGAATGACACCCGACCCTTTATCGTTATCAGAAAGACACCCGACCCTTCCTCTTTATGCGAAAAAAACCCGACCTCTTCCTTGTTTTCCGAATGACACCCTACCCCTCCTCGTTATCAGAATAACACCCGACCCCTTCCTCGTTATCGGAGAGACACCCGACCGCTCCTTGTTATCAGAATGGCATCCGAGCCCCTCCTCGTTATCGGAATGACACCTGACCCCATCCTCGTTATCAGAATGATACCCGACACCTTCTCGTTATGAGAGTGACCCCCGATCCCCTCCTTGTTATCGGAAGGACACCCAACCCCTCATCTTTATCAGATTGACACCGATTCCTCCTCGTTATGAGAGTGACCCGCGACCCTCTCCTCGTAATCAAAATGATACCTCACCCTCCGCGTTATCAGAATGACACCCACTCCTCCTCGTTATAAGAATGACAATGAACCCTTTCCTCGTTATCAGAAGAAAACTCGACTCCTCCCCATTTTCAGAGTTACCCCCGACCCCTCGTCGTTATCAGAATGACAACCAACCCTTCTTCGTTATGAAAATGACCCCTGACCCCCTCCTAGTTATCAGAATGAAACCCGACCGTTCTCGTTATCGGAATGACACCCAACCCCTTACTCATTATAAGAATGACCACCGACCCCTCCTCGCTATTGGGAAGACATCCGCCCCCTCCTCGTTTTCGGAATGACACTCGACTCCTCCTCGTTATCAGAATACCACCCGAGCCCTAATCGACCCATCTGCGTTATCAGAATGACACCCGAAACCCTCCTTGTTATCGTAATGGCACCTGATCCCCTCCTCGTTATCAAAATTATACCCGACCCCTCATAGTTATCAGAATGATACCCGATCCCTCCTTGTTATTAGAATGATACCCGTCCCCTCTTCGTTATCAGAATTAAAACCGACCCCTCCGCGATATGAAAGTGACCCTTGACCCTCATTTGTCATCAGAGTAATATCCGACCCTCTTCCTTATCAGAATGACACCCGACCCCTTCCTCACCCGACTCCTCCTCGCTATGAGAATGACACCGACCCCCTGCTCGTTATTGGAATGACAACCGACCCCCTCCTGTCATCAGAATGATACTTGACCTCCTCATCGTTAACAGAATGAAACCCGACCCATACTCGTTATCAGAATAATACCCTACCGCCTCATCGCTGTCAGAATGACACCCGACCCCTCCTCGTTATCAAAATGACACCCGACCCTTTCCTGATTATGAGGTTGATCCCTGACCTTCTCTTCGTTATCATAATGAAACTGTTCATCACAACAGAGATGAATTGAACAAAAGTTTCACAGCCTTGCAACGTAATCTCCATAATATATGTACTTTCTAGATGTACACATGGTAATGTCATCAGCAAAGTGAAAGGATAATTAATATGAAGAAGTATAGTGTGATTGAACAGGGACAGCTAAATACAGTTTAAATTTATCATATTATAGCTAAAAGGCAAACAGACCACAATCATTATGTCACATATGATAAAATTACTTACAAATGAGATGGTGAACCTCAAGCAAAGCTAATATTTATACCATAATGATAGTACTATAAATACAAAATATTTAGGGCGAGTCATTTAAGTTTTGATAAAGGATTAAGTATAATAAGCAAGCTATTGAATTTGTGAATTTCACACATGAAATTAGTATCGTTTCTCTTTCCTTTTCAGGCCAGTGTTAATCTGCCCTAGCTGTTACTATGGCAGAAGGCGGCCCTTCACCAGAACTGGACGAACACTTACTGGAGTGTCCAATATGTCTGGAGCAACTTCGACAACCCAAGTCCTTACCCTGCCTCCACTCTTTCTGTCAGGAATGCCTCGGGACCTACATCACCAAGAAACTGTCTGGCAAAATGGCGTTGGCAACATCGTTCCCCTGTCCCATCTGTAGGAGAATGACCTACACCCTCAATCAAACAGAGGCTAAGGACAAATGGGCAGAACAGTTCCCGACTAATGCTGTGATCCAGGACCTTATCAAGCTTCAGGAACACTCGTCTGAACCACTGTACTGCAAGCCTTGCCAGACAAGAGGTAACCTGACCAATCTAGCGAAATTCTGGTGTAAAATAATGAACTTGTATTTGTGCGAAACATGTAAGGTGCAACATCATGATGTCTTGCATTATGAATGTGACATCTTAGATATTACTGGGTACGATAGCAGGAAGAAAAAACATGAAAAATCAGTCCCTAAATGCGACCAACATGACAAGAAATTGATTTGGTACTGTGAAGACCACAAACGTCTCGGATGCAACATATGCATGATCAACGACCACATGCGTTGTGAAGAGGTGACAACGGCAGTGGAATATTTACAGAAGTTAAAAGCTGGTTCACAACTAGAAGAGATGGAGATGGCACTGAAGATAGGAGTACAGGCAATGACGTCATTGGTAAAGGATTTTGACGAACAGCTCAAAACTCTGGTCCAAAATCAGGAAATCGCACTGCAAAGCATCACCGATCTTCGCCAAAGTGTCGAAGAACAGCTGAACAAACTTCAGAAGGACGTCACAGATAAGTTAATTATACTGTTTAAAGAGGTGAAGGGGAATATAGAGGCCTCGTCACGACAGAGTGAACGTCTGATGAACAGTATGGTTAATACCATGAAGTCGTCCATTACCGCCGCAGAGGAAAACGACACTTTTGAGGCGATAGTGTTGTATCAGAGAGGACAGGCAGAAGTGGAGTCGTATAAGGCCCTGGTCACGGAGATGAGCACGTCCGTCACCATTAACCATCAAATTGTTCCCAGACTGGTAACCCTTGGTGATGACGCGATGGGGAAGATCGTGATCGAGAGACGACGGCGATGTCTTCCTGGTGATCTTGAATACCAGTCCGTACCTTTGTCAGAGCGTAGTGTGAAAGAAATAGGGAAGTGCAACGTAAAGACTCCGTCAGATAAAAGTGATTGTTCCATATGTGGAATTGTGTACCTTCCTAATGCACAGATAGTACTTAGTGATTACAACAACAAGAAGCTGAAGCTGTTTACAGACAAAGGAAAGTACCTGGACGTGTTGCCCTTTCTGGGAAATCCCTGTGACCTGTGTCTGGTAAACAACAATACCGTGGCGGTCGCTGTCACCAGTCCTGGTGGTGTCCGTGTCGTGAACGTCGAGCACTCAAAACTCTCCTTGTCGTCTAAGATCAGCATGCCTAATGTCACGTACTGTTATGGTATAACACATTCAAACGGTAGGTTCATCGTGAGTACATTGGGTGGACAGGTATACAGTGTGACACAGGACGGAGCGACGGAATTGTTACATAAGTATAACAATACCTGTTATTGCCTCACACAAGATCCAGTAAAGGGAGACACACTCGTCAGTGTCTATAACAACACTGAGGGGAAAGTCGCGGTGTCCAGACTGTCGGCTGACAAACGTCACACGGATGTGATGAAGGTCGGTGTCGTGAGTGGTGTAAGGGGAATACACGTGGACAGGGAGGGTTTCATCTACGTGTGTGGTAAAGATTCACACAACGTCGTACAGATGCTTGGAGACGGAACACACGTCAGGGATCTGCTGACGTCATCAGATGGAGTAAAATATCCATATGCAATATTTGTTCGCGGTGACACGTTTGTGGTCACTTCTTGTGGTTCTGCAGACCAGGATAATTATATCCGAATCTTTCAACTCTACTTAACATGTAGCACAGAAAAACACGTAGATGGTTGATCACGTGATGTGCACATGAACCATAATAGTCACAAATTTAATACAAACACTGAAACATTGCAAATTCTCTAGCGTTGTTTACGATGTATTTTTGGAACTATGCATATTTTTTTCTGTAATTCAATATAACAGGACGTTAATAAGATTATAGTGAAGGAGATTCTTGTTTCTAAATATCATAAGTATACACAAAAGAGTGACAATATTAAAAAAAATAATCATTTTCATTATTGTTTTGTTTTCATTTTTTTTATGAAAACTGGAATTAAAATAATAGTTTTGATAACGAAATACAAAGTATCAAATGTTCTCCTCATACCATAGTATCATATATAGAGGTGGATGTTTACTGAAAAATAACTGATAAAAACGTTTTCATAAATGATATAAACGTTTTCTGTCGGGTAGTTTTACAGTGTCAATTGTCAGTAACTCTTTTTTGAGATATGACCAGGACACTTTTTTGCTGAATATTTTCTCCGGTTTAAAAGGAGATAACGACTCATCGGGGAAATTGTGTAATAATTATGTGTTCCCGGTACATTACGAGTGTTTGAATATATAGCCAACTTTTCTTCTCTGAAACAAAAATTGCAGGCATTTTATATTCTTACGTTCGAGTAAACCTCCGACTGCAAACGTAAATATTAAGCAGTAGTCTAATTTAAGTGCTCTCTGCAATATAAAATATTAAGATACAGTTTCTGTACAAAGTTTGCAATTCATCAAGGCTCTAATCAGTAAAACACTGATTATATGCTGAAGTTTGAGTCCGCTAAAAATAAGTTCTTTTACACTATTTTGATTTATATGTATGCCCTTCTTTCAACTTTTAGGCATGTTTTTGTTGTGCTATACTTTTCCAAAGATATAACTCTACCTCGAATAATTTTGACGGCTGTGGTTACATGATACCTCACGGTTGTATAAACCGTAAAAAGTAATATTTTGCTAGGCTTGTAAAGCTCTATCTTGATAATTATAATGATAAATGTAAATGAGAGATGCTAACGATGAAAGCTTGGTAAGGCATAGAATACCGAGGAGGGAATTTATTTCGTAGCGTTCCTCCAACTAATTTAATTGGTGTGCTGGCTAATCGAGAATGGCACAGTAATTCAGCTATCAATCGGGACCTCGTTAGAAGTGTTTTTCACATTCACCTGACTATTGAGTCAGATAAAGACATGAGACAGGTGCTAAAAATAGATAATAAAGACATGGGACGGGTGCCAATAATAGACAGTAAAGACGTGGGACGGGGGCCAATAGTAGATAATGAAGACATGGGACGGGTGCCAAAAGTAGATAATGAAGACATGGGACTGGTGCCAATAATAGACAGTAAAGACGTGGGACGGGTGCCAATAGTAGATAATGAAGACATGGGACGGGTGCCAATAATAGACAGTAAAGACGTGGGACGGTTGCCAATAGTAGATAATGAAGACATGAGACGGGTGCCAATAATAGACAGTAAAGACGTGGGACGGGAGCCAATAGTAGATAATGAAGACATGGGACGGGTGCCAATAATAGACAGTAAAGACGTGGGACGGGTGCCAATAGTAGATAATGAAGACGTGGGACGGGTGCCAATAATAGACAGTAAAGACGTGGGACGGGTGCCAATAGCAGCTAAAGAAAACATGGGACTGGTGCCAATAATAGACAGTAAAGAGGTGGGACGGGTGCCAATAATAGATAATGAAGACATGGGACGGGTGCCAATAGTAGATAATGAAGACATGGGACGGGTGCCAATAATACATAATGAAGACATGGGACGGGTGCCAATAAAAGAAAGTAAAGACGTGGGACGGGTGCCAATAGTAGATCAAGAAGACATGGGACGGGGGCCAATAATAGACAGTAAAGACGTGGGACGGATGCCAATAGTAAATAATGAAGACATGAGACCGGTGCCAATAGTAGATAATGAAGACATGAGACCGGTGCCAATAGTAGATAATGAAGACATGGGACGGGTGCCAATAATAGACAGTAAAGACGTGGGACGGGTGCTAATAGTAGATAATGAAGACATGAGACCGGTGCCAATAGTAGATAATGAAGACATGGGACGGGTGCCAATAATAGACAGAAAAGACGTTGGACGGGTGCCAATAGTAGATAATAAAGACATGGGACGGGTGCCAATAATAGACAGTAAAGACGTGGGACGGGTGCCAATAGTAGATAATGAAGACATGGGACGGGTGCCAATAGTAGATAATGAAGACATGGGACGGGTGCCAATAGTAGATAATGAAGACATGGGACGGGTGCCAATAGTAGATAATGAAGACATGGGACGGGTGCCAATAATAGATAATGAAGACATGGGACGGGTGCCAATAATAGATAATGAAGACATGGGACGGGTGCCAATAATAGATAATGAAGACATGGGACGGGTGCCAATAATAGATAATGAAGACATGGGACGGGTGCCAATAATAGATAATGAAGACATGGGACGGGTGCCAATAATAGATAATGAAGACATGGGACGGGTGCCAATAATAGATAATGAAGACATGGGACGGGTGCCAATAATAGATAATGAAGACATGGGACGGGTGCCAATAATAGATAATGAAGACATGGGACGGGTGCCAATAATAGATAATGAAGACATGGGACGGGTGCCAATAATAGATAATGAAGACATGGGACGGGTGCCAATAATAGATAATGAAGACATGGGACGGGTGCCAATAATAGATAATGAAGACATGGGACGGGTGCCAATAATAGATAATGAAGACATGGGACGGGTGCCAATAATAGATAATGAAGACATGGGACGGGTGCCAATAATAGATAATGAAGACATGGGACGGGTGCCAATAATAGATAATGAAGACATGGGACGGGTGCCAATAATAGATAATGAAGACATGGGACGGGTGCCAATAATAGATAATGAAGACATGGGACGGGTGCCAATAATAGATAATGAAGACATGGGACGGGTGCCAATAATAGATAATGAAGACATGGGACGGGTGCCAATAATAGATAATGAAGACATGGGACGGGTGCCAATAATAGATAATGAAGACATGGGACGGGTGCCAATAATAGATAATGAAGACATGGGACGGGTGCCAATAATAGATAATGAAGACATGGGACGGGTGCCAATAATAGATAATGAAGACATGGGACGGGTGCCAATAATAGATAATGAAGACATGGGACGGGTGCCAATAATAGATAATGAAGACATGGGACGGGTGCCAATAATAGATAATGAAGACATGGGACGGGTGCCAATAATAGATAATGAAGACATGGGACGGGTGCCAATAATAGATAATGAAGACATGGGACGGGTGCCAATAATAGATAATGAAGACATGGGACGGGTGCCAATAATAGATAATGAAGACATGGGACGGGTGCCAATAATAGATAATGAAGACATGGGACGGGTGCCAATAATAGATAATGAAGACATGGGACGGGTGCCAATAATAGATAATGAAGACATGGGACGGGTGCCAATAATAGATAATGAAGACATGGGACGGGTGCCAATAATAGATAATGAAGACATGGGACGGGTGCCAATAATAGATAATGAAGACATGGGACGGGTGCCAATAATAGATAATGAAGACATGGGACGGGTGCCAATAATAGATAATGAAGACATGGGACGGGTGCCAATAATAGATAATGAAGACATGGGACGGGTGCCAATAATAGATAATGAAGACATGGGACGGGTGCCAATAATAGATAATGAAGACATGGGACGGGTGCCAATAATAGATAATGAAGACGTGGGACGGGTGCCAATAATAGATAATGAAGACATGGGACGGGTGCCAATAATAGATAATGAAGACATGGGACGGGTGCCAATAATAGATAATGAAGACATGGGACGGGTGCCAATAATAGATAATGAAGACATGGGACGGGTGCCAATAATAGATAATGAAGACATGGGACGGGTGCCAATAATAGATAATGAAGACATGGGACGGGTGCCAATAATAGATAATGAAGACATGGGACGGGTGCCAATAATAGATAATGAAGACATGGGACGGGTGCCAATAATAGATAATGAAGACATGGGACGGGTGCCAATAATAGATAATGAAGACATGGGACGGGTGCCAATAATAGATAATGAAGACATGGGACGGGTGCCAATAATAGATAATGAAGACATGGGACGGGTGCCAATAATAGATAATGAAGACATGGGACGGGTGCCAATAATAGATAATGAAGACATGGGACGGGTGCCAATAATAGATAATGAAGACATGGGACGGGTGCCAATAATAGATAATGAAGACATGGGACGGGTGCCAATAATAGATAATGAAGACATGGGACGGGTGCCAATAATAGATAATGAAGACATGGGACGGGTGCCAATAATAGATAATGAAGACATGGGACGGGTGCCAATAATAGATAATGAAGACATGGGACGGGTGCCAATAATAGATAATGAAGACATGGGACGGGTGCCAATAATAGATAATGAAGACATGGGACGGGTGCCAATAATAGATAATGAAGACATGGGACGGGTGCCAATAATAGATAATGAAGACATGGGACGGGTGCCAATAATAGATAATGAAGACATGGGACGGGTGCCAATAATAGATAATGAAGACATGGGACGGGTGCCAATAATAGATAATGAAGACATGGGACGGGTGCCAATAATAGATAATGAAGACATGGGACGGGTGCCAATAATAGATAATGAAGACATGGGACGGGTGCCAATAATAGATAATGAAGACATGGGACGGGTGCCAATAATAGATAATGAAGACATGGGACGGGTGCCAATAATAGATAATGAAGACATGGGACGGGTGCCAATAATAGATAATGAAGACATGGGACGGGTGCCAATAATAGATAATGAAGACATGGGACGGGTGCCAATAATAGATAATGAAGACATGGGACGGGTGCCAATAATAGATAATGAAGACATGGGACGGGTGCCAATAATAGATAATGAAGACATGGGACGGGTGCCAATAATAGATAATGAAGACATGGGACGGGTGCCAATAATAGATAATGAAGACATGGGACGGGTGCCAATAATAGATAATGAAGACATGGGACGGGTGCCAATAATAGATAATGAAGACATGGGACGGGTGCCAATAATAGATAATGAAGACATGGGACGGGTGCCAATAATAGATAATGAAGACATGGGAC